CTAATTATGGAAATATTTATTCCAATAAACCATATATTGAAGTTCATAAAGAATGTAAAGATATTAGTAAAATAATATAACCAAATAAGCAAATAAATTTAATTCTAAAAGAATATGAATTTAGTATAGTAAAAAATAAACCTGAAATAACAGAATTAAATAAAGAAGAATGTTCTAATAACATAACATTTAAGGATAGAAAATTAATTAAAAGATCAAAAAGTTTTAAAATACCTAATAAAAATCAGTTAGAAGAAATCGACAAAATAAAAGAAGTAAAATTATATAGGAATGCTGGAAACATGAAAATAGAAGGATAATATTATAATGGAAGAGAAAACATAAATGGACCAAATATATTAATTGATACAGGAGCTAGTGAATGTCATATAGCTTCAATCAGAAACAAAGGATTAATAACTCATAAAACTGAACCATATAAGTATGTAAATTTTGATGAACAAGTCCATACAACAGATTTAGAAGTTAAGGTACTAATAAAAATAGGAGGGATAGATCGTTTAGTATCATGTTACATAGATAAAAGTATGGATAGAAATCCCCATATACTTTTAGGAATGCGTTTTCTAAATGGATTAGAAGATTATAGTATAAAAAGAGAAGGATTATATATTGTTCATAATGGACAAACTATATTATGTAAAAAGAATTAAATGAATAATCAGATAATTTTTTCATTAGCTGTGTATTTACAAATTACTATTGTAGAAACGAATATAACAACTTGTACTTTAATAGATACTGGAAGTGAATAACAATATTTAAATTTTTTTAATAAAATCATGGAATAATAATAGTAATATAAAAATAACTGGTGTTACAAGAGAAAGTACTCAAACAATTAATAGTGCTGATAAAGTTAATATAATTCTTGGAAGTAAACAAGTAACAATAAATAAAGTTTATAAATATGATAAATTAGAATGTGATATATTATTAGGAAATGATTTCATACAACAATTTCAATATTATAAACAAAATAATTATATGATAATGTTACAAACACCTTGTGGATACTTATTAAAAATTTCAAGAGAATTTAAACCTTATAAAGTTCAGCCAGCCCAGCGTGGTGATAAATGGGAGAAAAAATCAATTCTTAATAATGAAATAAAAAATAAAATATTATATAAAAATGTTCTAAAAACAGGAATAGAAATGAATATAGAAAAAATAATTGAACAATTAAAAAAAGTTTATAGAGAAAATCCATTATTATTTTGGAAACCATGTCACCCAAAAGCTAAAATAGAATTAACAGAAAATGTTATAATAAGAGTAAGACCAATGATGTATACAATAGAAGATACACAAGAATTTAAAAATTAGGTAAAAGAATTGTTAGAACAAAAACTTATTAGACCTAGTAATGGACCTCATAGTAGTCCAGCCTTTATGGTTATGAAACATTCTGAACAAGTTAGAGGAGAAGCTAGAATGATTATAAATTGTAAAGAATTAAACAAATATACTAAATTTGATTGTTACTTTCTACCAAATAAATAAGTACTAATAAATCTTGTAAGAGGAAAACAATATTATTCTAAATTTGATTGTAAATCAGGATTCTGACAAGTAAAAATGGAAGAAGATAGTATACAATATACTGCATTTAGCACACCTCAAGGAAAATATGAATGGTTAGTTATGCCAATTGATTTGAAAAATGCACCACAAATATACCAAAGAAAGATGGATAATATATTTAAAATGTTTAATGAATTTCTAATAGTTTATATTGGTGATATATTAATATGTTCTAATAGTAAAGAAGAGCATAGAAATCATTTAATCCAATTTATTAATGAATGTAAAAAAGAAGGAATTGTACTATCTAAAAAGAAATTTATAATAGAAAAACAAGAGATAGACTTTTTTGGATTATCAATAGATAAAAGATGAATAAAATTACAGACTCATATATCCAAAAAGATAGAAAGTTTTCCAGATAAATTAGAATCTAAAGAACAAATTCAAAATTTTTTTAGGATGTTTAAACTATGAAGAAGGATTTATTGAAAATCTTTCAAAGAAAAGACATAAAATCCAAATTTTACTTAGAAAAATAAATACTAAGGGGATGGAATGAAGAGCATACAGAAATAGTTAAATCATTAAAATAAGAATGTAAAAATTTACCAAAATTGAGGTTACCAGATGAAAAAGATAATTTGATTGTTAATACTGATGCCTCAGATAAATATTAGGCTGCAATATTAAAAGCAGATCTAAATGAAATTTGTAGATATTTAAGTTGAACCTTTAACCAAGTAGAAATAAATTATACTACTCATAAAAAAGAATTACTAGCAATTATTAGAGAAATAAAAAAGTTCTCATTGTTTTTATTATCCAAAAAATTTATTGTTGAAACTGATAATTCTCAAGTTGCAGATTAGTCAGAAATAAATTACCATCAGAACCTCAATACAGAAGGCTCCATAGATGGCAAACTTATTTAGCATTTTATAATTTTGATATAGTTCATATTAAAGGAATTAATAATTTTCTTGCAGATTTTCTAAGCAGAAATATAGAATCTGCTGATGGATAAAACTAAGGCCATGGAGTTATATCAATCCATTCTACACATACAAAGAAAGGATAAATTTTTTTAAAGAAGAATCTGAAGATATATAAGTTCTGGAGCAATCCAGATCTCAGAGATGTTCAACTCAAATATGAAAATATTGTTGAATATCACTACTGAACATCATAAATATGCCATTGAACTCAAAAATCAAGTTTATGCTATTGTAGCACAACTAAAAAATATACTGTTTGAAACAGATATACCAAAGAGCTCAGAAATGAGTTTTCCAAATCAATACCAAATAGGGACAGCAGGAAGCAATAGTGGACCCAGACGTGACAACATACCAACTGATAATAAAGGATATTCCATTTCTGTATCATCAACCAAGAAAGTTATGATACGTGGAGATAAAAGAAATACCAAAACAATCAGTATCATAGACCAATAAGATAAAATCCCTTTAGATCCAAATGAAGAAAAATATGCCAAAATAGTCAAAATCGCTTATGAAATAAAAATAAGTGATTCATATTTTATTTCTCCAGGAAATAATATTTATCCCAGAATAACAGTCATGGAAGGAGGTGACCCTTTATTTATAAAAATCATGACAGACTATGGATTCATGGATTTGATTTATCCAGGAAAAGATTTTATTGAAATTTCAAAATTTGATGACATATTCATTAAAGAAGTATCCAGATTTGTCAAGAGAAGGAAGATATTTTTAAAGTTCTATTCAATCAGTCCAGAATATGATGGAGTTGTTTACTATCCAGTTGAATACATAATCTCAATTGGATATGTTGCAGCCAATTTCCAAATTGATGTTACAGAGAATAATAGAAAAGTCCCAACAATGACAAAATCATGGATCAGACATAGAAGAGCACTTGGAATTAAAGTCATACACAACATTGCCAAAAATTTGCGTGCTTATGCCAATATGAAAATTGGATGCTAGTATCTAATGGAGGATATGCAAAATCAGGAATTTTAAAGGACTATATTACAAGGTTTGATATACATCAATTTCCAGGATATCCTACCACTATAAAAGAATCCTGCCAGTTAAGGGAGTGCCCCAACTGCATGTGAAGAAATGAAAAAGAAGACAAAGTACCTTTTGACAAAGGTGTATGAAGGACAATAATACTACATGTAACGACATTGACTATGAAAAGCAATAATAGAAAAAAATGCTTTTTGGATAAGAAACCAACATGTGAAGATGTAGGCCCAAGGAAGAAAATAGAAGGCAAGAGTATCTTTGCTGATGTAATAAATGATGTAATAGAGTCTCAAAAACTTGTATAAATAGAGACATTACTATAGAAGAATATCATCCTATCCTATCTTGAATTCTTGAGTTGTAAGTAATAGCCTATTCTCAGTTTGAAAAATCAGTTTTTCTGGAAATCCCTTTGTATCAAATATAAGTCTTGTATCAATCCTAATAGAAATAAAATTCTAATATTTTGATATCAATATGAGTTTCTAAATTCTTTTTCCATAGATTCTTGAAAGATCTAATAGAAAGTTTCCTTCTTATTTTAGCAAAAATGGAGTTTTCTTTAACAGAAGTCTAGAATTTTATTCTTTAGAAATTGATACAGTGAGAGCAAGTAGTTGAAATAGTAACAATTCCGTGAAGGCAGGAGACCTTTGAAGGAAGCAGTTTACAAATTCAGAGTTCGAAGGTCACTTGGTTCTAAGAATGCAAGTCTAGATCAAATCTAAGGTAAAATTATTAAACTTTTGCTAAAATTAGAATGAATCTTTTAAAGGTCTTAAAAGAATCGCAGGGATAATTGCATGATGATTATTTTGATAAATGCCAGGATATACAGTTGAAGGATTAGATAATTTATTAGAAAGAATGTTAGAAGAAATAAAGAGTATTATATCTCAATTAAAAAATACAAATTTACCATTTGAAGAATATGGTATTTTATTAAGAAAATATGATATATATGTTATGAATTATTCTTATTTTTTAGATCATAGAATGATTTTATACTCAAATATTCAAAATAGAGTAAACAGAAGATAAAATGCTCAAAAGATTAGGATATATGTTTCAATATAAAAAGAATCATTTCATTAAGAGTAATATAGACATTTCCATAAAAAGGAATAGTGACAGGCCAAATAGAAAAATCTCTCTTGAAAAATGATTATATCTGAAAATTCGATTAAAACAAAATATATTTTGAAAATCATACTTCTACAGATTATCCACATGATCAAACTCAACTCGATTGGCTGGTTTGGATCAAAATTGTTGAGGACTTGATTAACGACCCATGATTAGGTAAGGGCAAACAATAAACTTGATTTTTCCAGACTTAGATGATAGTTATTTGCAAGAGGAACAACGAGTGAAGTTCATGTATATGATCGAGCATAATTGCATATTTCATCCCATCAAATAAATAAGAAGATCCCTTGTAATACCTAACAAATATGGTGTTAAAGACGACACTTTATTCTTATTAATTAGAATGCATTGCATGCATGGAATAGTAAAATATAATTAATATTAAGAAGAAAATAGGAACATATATGATATATTGGTATATACATCAGAAACATTCTGTGGCTGGCTAATGTTTTTTTTTTTTTTAACTTAAACATATATATGTTTTTAAACAAAAATAAATAAATCAGCAAATTAATTATTTAATTCCTACTCTGAATGATTTAATCTTCGGCTGCGCATTCGAGCTCCCCAAGACATGCTTCCTCCTGAATACTTTTTCCTTTGCTTCAATTCATTTAGTTGTGATTGCCACCTCATTTTCCACTCCCTTCTCTCGTCCCATCTCTGTTTTTCAATTTAAAAAAAAGAAAAGAAATAATTCTATATTCATAACTTGTCAAATGAATTATAAAAAATCATCAAATAATAATGTGCTTAGGAGATTTACCTGGTGATAGTCATACCCTCTTCCAGAAGAAAAATTGAAGCCCGATCCGTTAGCTAAATCTTGATCGTACAAAGCTCTGGTGAGTGGATCAGAAAGGGTTTCATAAGCCTCCTTAACCAGTAAAAATCTCCTGGTGTTTTCATCGACACGGTCTGGTGGAGACACATCAGGATGATATTTTCTTGCCATTTGTTTATAAGCTTTCTTTATATCAGATATAGTTCCACTCTCTTTAATTCCCAATACATCATAGAAACTGTCTGTTCTTTGCGTTGGAGAGTAAAATGCCTTAAAACTTGCCCGGCTGGCTGGGTTTCTCTGAATCCCAGATGGAGATTTGAATTGAATCCTGGAATTTGTCAACTTGGAAATAAGGGAAATAGTTGAAACACTTTCATTGAGGTAATTTTTGGTGGGTTTGTTGGGTTTTGAGCAGAAATGAAAGCGAGTTCCGGAACCTGAAACCACTGCACAACTCATTCTTCTGGTTTTTTGGTTTATCTCTTGTTTAGTTTTGAGTCTGAAAATTTTCTTGTTCTCTGACTCTGATTGTCTCTCTTTGTGTGCATATATATAGATGAGTGCGAAAGAACTTGACGTGATTCAATTGTATATGAGTTGGTAAGAGGTTTCCATGATATACTTTTCTTTCGCATGTCGGTACGATTTCCTAGCGATGGCCGTGGGTTGTGATTTGGGTACAAACTTGTCTTATTGAGAAAATTTTAAATATATACAAAAACCATTTCCTTCCCCATTTCTACATTTCTTTACGAACCAGAAAATATCGTGTTTACAAATAAAGCGGACCAAAACCTCCGTACCAAACGAAGAACAAAAGATCACATGTTAAATGTCTACTGCATTTTTGTTATGCAGAACTTGAACACAAGACTCACATTCTATCGACATACGTACTCGTAGATAAGAGCAGTACGCGCCAATTTTAACATGGACCACTTCCTGGACAACGCATACCACTGTCGGATTAAGAATTCAACGAATTTGATTTTGGTTGATTTATTGTTCTTCTGTTAAAGAAAATGATCACATTATAATCTTAGGTGTAATGAAGCAATCACTACCGTAGACCATGATCTCGTTAATGGTGCTGGCAATGAAGCAATCAATTACTAACATTGATCAAACCAATAATCCTAATGCTAATATATTGCTGGTGAGATCTTTATCAAATCTGTTTAGTTAACAAAAAATTGACAGATTTAATTCGCCTTTTTAATTCCCAAATGAATAAAATACAGCTTCCAATGCTAATTATTCTACAGAGAATTTGAAGCTTATTAAGCTCAAACGAGCCAATATGATCCGATTAAGACTAAAACGAGCCAGCACAAGAATTTCAAGATTAGTTTGTTCAACCATCTTGTGGGACATTTTAAAAGATAAATTCCACATTGACTAATTATCGAAATATAGACCAATATATAAGAGTTTGGGCTACTCCCATTTTTACCTTTGAAAAGTAGCCTAAATTCTTATATGTTAGTGATAAGTGTATTTTTGCACACTTATTTAATACCTAAATAAACTAATTAGTGATTAAATTGAGCAAATCTCTATTCAAAATTGTGTATTTATGGTTTTTGTAGGTCATAACCCTGAAAAGAAATAGAAAAAGGCAAAAGAAAGTGAAAAGTACAAAATTGTGAATTTGGAGACCAAAATGCACAATTGCTAAAAGTTGAGGGACTTTCGTTACAATTCATGGATCCGAGGACCAAATTGTGCTGAATTTAAGTTGAGGAACTTGATTTGCAAATATTGGAGGACTTGAGCCGCAAAATGAAAACCAATTGATTGTTGTTTTAATAGAGAGCAGGTACTTACACCCCACACGGTCGCGTTCGAGCCGTCCCGGTAGCGGCCGCAAAACAGCGTGGACAGCACGCTGCAGCAGAGGACGGAATGGGCAGAATGCAGGCTGCCTAAAATTGTGCAGTTTTCTAGGACATTGATGAGGTTTTTCTAAATCCCGACCCAGCCATTTTGGAGGAAAAATACATGAACCTGCAGCGGGATATTTTGGGATGCAAGTAGGCAACTTGCACAACTTGTCCACTTGTGCCACTTGCAAGATATTATCAAAGATACAAGCTAAGCGCGAGTTGGCGAAGATATTATCAAAGGAGCAAGCTAAGCACGAGTTGGCAAGAATAATATCTACTATGCAAGCTAAGATCGAGTTGGCGACAACTTGCAAGGAAAGTTGTAAGCTTACCCACTTGACGACAACTAAGCACGAGTTGTGAACAACTAAGCGTAGGTTGTAAAGTAAGGCCACTTGATCTTAAGGAGGTTTAAGTTTTGCCTATAAATAGAGATGAAAGTCTCATTTTAAATCATGTAGAGTTGAGTGAATTTATTCCTTAGAGAGATTGTAAGGTTTTCCCTTTCATTTATACAAAGAAAGTTTCCCGACCTTACTTGTTTTTCATACATCCCTTACTTCAAAATTCTCTTCTCAACGTGGGTATAATTTAGTCTCCTTGGTTAAATTATTTGTGAGCGTAAAAATGCTGACTTAACGTTTTCTCGTGAGGTGCGGGAATTGTCAAGCGTTAAGGCTGCACGGTTCTAGTTGTTCGGGCGTAACGAAACTAGGTCCGTGACAAGGTGCTACCTTACAATGTCTAGGTGCAACTCTAAAAAGCTAAGGACAATTTTACAATGGATAATCTATACATGGATTATGAAGATATGCTTGGAGGATATCTCAGTTTTAAAAATTGTTACAAAATGCATTGTACTGGGCCATGCTTGTTTTCGTACAATAGTTTACATGCATCGAAACTTCTTAGGTTTAGAAAATACTGAAGTGTCGAAAACAAGTAATTGACAAAAATGATGAAGAGTACATGTTCGCGGGAGATTTTGTACCTTACAATTGGGATGAGGACATCAAACTTGTGGGAGATGGTCCTCTCCTATTGAACGAGAAGATATTTGCAAAGTATTTCAAAAAACTTGTCAAGTTGAATGAAAGCGATATGCTTATGGGAGATTACATGTACTAAGAAGGATTTCAATAGTGGGGTTACAATCAAACCGACTTCTCATTGCTCGTGGATCTAGATTGTGGAACGATAATTCAACCCAAAGATATATTGACTATGGACGATGGGATTAAAGAGAATGACGAATTGATCACAACGGAATCAAATGAAGATGTGGTAATAAATGAGGTTGAAATCGACTTACATTTTTTCGACTTTATTGATTGTTTGAAATTTGATTTTGTGATTACGTCCGATGTAAAGGTAGAAGTCTACATTGCTGAAATTGAATCGGATGAAATAGAAAAGTCTTATTACATTGAAAATGGTAAGGCAAATGTTTGAAGACTAAATGAAGAGTAAATCAAAGTAAAACGATATTCCACATTGACTAATTATCGAAATATAGAGCAATATATAAGAGTTTTGGCTACTCCCTTTTTACCTTCTAAATGTTGTCTAAATTCATATATGTTGGTGGCAAGTATGTTTTTGCAAACTTATTTAATACATAAATAAACTAATTAGTGATTAAGTTGAGCAAATTTTTTTTCATAATTACGTATTTATGGTTTTTGTAGGTCATAACCCCGAAATGAAATAGAAAAAGGCAAAAGAAAGTGATAAGTACAAAATCGTGAATTTGGAGACCAAAATGCACCATTGCTGAAAGTTGAGGGACTTCAGTTGCAATTCATGGATCTGAGGGCCAAATTGTACTGAATTAAAGTTGAAGAACTTGATGTGCAAATATTGGAGGACTTGAGCCGCAAAATGAAAATAATTGATTGTTGTTTTTAATAGAGGGTTGGCGCTACCTTACAGCGTCTAGGTGCCACTTTAAAAAGCCTAGAACCATTTTAAAATCGATAATCTTTCCATGGATTATGAAAATATGTTTAGAGGATATCCAAGTTGTAAAAATTGTTACACGATGCATTGTACTGAGCCATACTTGCTCTCGTACACTAGTTTACACGCGTCGAAACTTCTTAGGTTTAGAAAATGCTTAAGTGTAGAAAACAAGCAATTGACAAAAATGATAAAGAGTACATGTTCGTTGGAGATTGTGTAACTTACCATTGGAATGAGGACATTAATTTGTAAGAGATGATCTTCCCCTATTGAACGAAAAGGTACTTACAAAGTATTTCAAAAAACTTGTCAAGTTGGATGAAAGCAATATGCTTATGGGAGATTACATGTGCTAAGAAGGATTTCAACAAGGGGGTTACAATCAAATCAGCTTCTCATTGCCCGTGGATCTAGATTGTTGACCGATAATTCAACACAAAGATATATTGACTATGGAAGATGGGATTAAAGAGAACGACGAATTGATCACACCGGAATCAAATGAAGATGTGGTAATAAATGAGGTTGAAATCGACTTAAATTTTTTCGACCTTATTGATTGTTTGAAATTTGATTTTGTGATTAAGTCCGATGTATAGGTTGAAGTCTACATTATTGAAATTGGATCGGATGAAATAGAAAAGTTCTATTACATTGAAAATGGTAAGCTAGAGGTTGAAAACTAAATGAACAGTAGATGAAAGCCAAACGAAGAAAAATGGACAAGACATCCAATGTTTTCTTTAGATGCCCATGAGTCAATTGCCAAAATCGAGTAAAAGACTATGGAAAAGCGCTTATTGGGAGCAACCTAATTTTCTAACTTTTAAGCTTTTATTTACTTTTATGCATTTTCATATTTTTATTTGATTAGCTATCGTTTTTTGTAGGTAATTTTTTGAAGTATTATATATCCATGGTTCTTTACAAGTATGGAGGTCAATTGTTGTACAAGAAGGTCACTGCCAAGTTTATAAAAAACATCACAGGTCCAAATCAAGCATTGGTACCCTTCACAAATGTCTAACCGAGGAAGTTTCATTATTCCCTCATCTTTTATCATTTGTCCCCACATTGAGGATAATGTGTGATTTAAGTTGGAGGGTGAGTGTGCTTACTTTGATTTGATTGTGTTGACATATTATATAGCCTTGCCGGTTTAGCATGATTTGATGTTTTTTGATTCATGATAAATAACCAAATATGCTGTGTGCCTTAAATTTTTCAAAAAATTTGCTTGTCAATGTGAGATCCCATGTTACTTTAAGCACGATAGTCATCATTAATTATTATTTACATGTGAGATTTTTTTATTGACTGACAAAATTTTGAATTGGAAAGAACAATGTTGTGAGCTATGCATAAATTTTTGGCACTCCTATATTCACTTCTTTTTCACTTAAGTTTGGGAGTGGTCGAGCTACAGAAGGATATTATATAGAAGTGTGTTGATTCCACACATGTGAAAATATTTGTGTGGAGTATCTTTTGCAAGTATAAGCTAGATAATGACTATATACTAGAGATCCAAGCCCCATGTAGTTTTGTTGTGCTTAAAAGAATGATGTTAAACTTGTTGAATCTTGGGCCTCACTTTGTAGTCTTTTTTTACTTGAATTATTAAGTTTGTTGGGGCATCTCGAAACCTGCCACTCTTTGGCCTAAATAGTTGGGGAGTTATTGATCTAAAGCTCGCTACAATGGTCAAAAAGAAAGTTTCATGAAGTGAGGTAAAATATGATATCTAATTGTAAAAGAAAAAAATTGTTATGGTTCAATCGTATTTGATATTTGGGTTTAGATAACTCACTTATTAATGGAGAATCATCACATTTCTAGCTATTGAGATTGTCGGTTCGACCCAACCGAATTAGAGCGCTAAAAGAAAATAGTAACTAAGAGCAACCTTAGATTTACAACTAGGGAAAGAAAAAGAAACATAAATCTTGGGGTGAGAATCTCATGAGTGGAAAAGGAAATATATGACCACAAAGGGTTTGGTTGGACCCAATTTGAAATTTTTTTCCGTCTTAACAACTTTTTTCCTAATTTAGATGATGATGTAAAGTGACTATTCATCTACACACCGATCAAATATTGGATAAGGTTAAATTATTTTTGCTAGCATTATTTGTAGCATATTTGTGAATTAGTTATATGATTTTACACTTTTAGATAAGTTTGATAAGCTATCTATTGTGTTGATCTCTATCTCATTTTGTATGATTGTGATAATTGATAATCTTGCTTGAGACGAGCAAGAGCTTAAGTTTGGAGATGTTGATAAGTGTGTTTTTGCACATTTATGTAATTCGTAAATAAACTTAAATATTGATTAAGAGAGTGATTTTCTACTCATAATTATGTAATAATTGTTTTTGTAGATAAAAATAATCTAAGAAAATAGAACAAGGCAAAAAGAAGTGAAAAGGGATCAAAAGCATACAAAATTGTGAAGTTGATTACCAAAAGTGCATAAGTTAAAAAGTTCAAGGACCTGGGATTGCAATTGTTGGAGGGCATGATTGATATAAAAGTCAAAATTTGAGGACCAAATTGTATAAGATCAAAGTTGAGGGACTTGACGTGTAATTATTTGGAGAACTTAGCCGCAAAAATGGAACCAATCTATGATTTTTGATAGCAAGGCACCATCTCATAGCACCTAGGGATAAATATAACAAACGCTTTGTCATTTTTTGTAGGGCTATCCTCAAACCTGTTCAAGAACGGCATATAAACAATAAAATCGCATCAATGATAAACTAAAAAATAAACTGCATATATGGATTAAACAACAGTAGATGATCCATTGAAAAAGTAAAACGCAAGAACGCCAAATCGAAGTGGGTTAAGTGGTAAGTTTGTTTGGACTAATGTGCATCAATTGTTGTCTAGAGGAAGAAGTTACAAGTGGAACCGAAATCAGATCTCTAAAAAATACCAATTCTAGTAGCAGATCAAAAGATCTCATAAAAACTAACCCAAAAAATATAAGTCTTATCAGACAGCATACCAATAGAGCAAAGAACCAATTTCAACAGCCAACAATGACTTCGGATAATCCCTATATCAGAAATATTACAAATCTATACAAGATCAACAACACACTATGACCAAAAACTCAAGAGATCGCCCAAAAGAAAGGAAGAGAAGCTAGAGAAAATATGAAAATCAGAATTGAATCGAATAATCTTCTCAAATCAAAAACCAAGATAAATCCCAACCATTTGATATAATCAACGACTCAAAAGAGTGGAGAGAAAGCACAATCCGATCACTTTCAAATCAGCCAGTAGCCACAATACACGTGGATTTGTAAACTTAAAGAGTTATTATATTTTTGGAAACATGTCTATAACTTTCAATCTTCACCTTTGTTCCAAAAATTGTAAACATTTCCCTACAATATGCAAAAGAGCGCATTCAAAACTTACCCAATCATCATTGCCAAATTACCCAATATTAATATGGAGCAATTATAAACAAACTCTAAACATATCAACATAAAGTACTTTAGTACTCATCTTAAATGATTTTTATCAGTATGAATTTTTTTCTAAATTAATTTCATCTGAAGCAATTTTCTCTCGTATAAAATGATACTTAACTTCAACGTGTTTAGATTTTTTAAACATGATTCTTATTTAATAAAAGTGCATTTTGACTATCAGTAAACACAACATCAGTATCATGTAAAAAATTCAACTCTGCAAGAATACCTTTCAACCATATACATTTCTTTATGGCTTCAGTAATAACAACATATTCAGCTTCAGTAATGGATAATATTACTATTAAACGTCATTTAGATTTTCAGGTTATGCAATTATCACCAAGTGTGAAAGAATATGCAGTAGTAGATTTATTTTTGGGAAAATTGCATCGTCGGTCCCAAATCTTTCATTTCGTTACGGATTACACCCAAACCTTTAATTTTTGTGATCGGAGTCCCAAGCATTTATATGTAATTGCAGCGTTGGTCCATTTCACGTATTCCATCCAAATTGTCGTCAGTCAACAAGAAAATCTGCATTTTGACTCCAATGGAACATACTTCATGGATAAAATTGTCAAAAGAAAATCTTGCAGTCATAACCACAGCCTTCGCAGCAAAAGAAAAGGGTTTCTACATCAACTAACAAACCTGCTGGAAAGAAGAAGTTCAAGGGAAAGGCACAAATTGATGAAAGTGAAGTGAAATAGTACCAACACTGATAAATTTATTGTTTGTTTTTGGAGAGTGGTTGAAAAAACTAATGTAATTAGTCAATGTGGATTTTGTTTAGTGTTTGATACCGTATGATGTAATGTGTTTTGTTTTTGGGAAATGGCTGAAAATGTTTTTTTGTTGCCAATGACAATGGTTTCTGGATATATACTGCAGTGTTGATACCTTGTTGATTGCTTGTATTCTATTCTTTTTGGTCATCACAGCTACATTCAGAAGTGAACAATTGGTACCTCTGTTGCATTTTTGGACAAACATTTGGGACCTATGTTGAGTAATTCTATATAGGTTTGGTACATATGCTAACGGAGTTACAAAATGTTTGGGACCAATACTATGCCAAGTACAGAAGGTTTGGTACCTGTACTGCACCATCAACAAATGTTTTGGGATTTTTACTGCATTTATAATTAATTCGAACCAAGCATACCATTGGCGAAGCAAATTATTAAGTTAACCACGTTCTTGATATTGGGCTCCCAACCATCAAAATAGCAAATCCAAAACACTAAATTTATCGATGTGAGTATTATTTCACTTCACTTTCATCAATTTGTGCCTTCCCCTTGGACTTTTTCTTTGCAGTAGGTTTGTTAGTCAATGTAGACGCCATTTTCTTTAGTTGCGAAGGCTGTGGTTGTGACTGGAAGATTTGCTTTTGACAATTTTACCCATGAAGTAACGTTCTATTGGAGTCAAAATGCAGATTTTCCTGTTGACTAACGGCAATTTGGACTGAATGCGTGAAATGGACCAACGCTGCAATTACATATAAAGGTTTGGGACTCCAATCGCAAAAATTAAAGGTTTGGGTGTGATCTACAGCGAAATGAAAGGTTTAGGACCGGATCTGCAATTTTTCCTTTATTTTTTATTTTTTAACTTTATCAATGGTAAAATCCACATCCACATAACCTTTTAAGATCAAACAGTTTTGTAAAAATATATAACAATTTCCAATTATATATATATTCTTTAAATCATATAATTTTGGTGAGCCAAATTTAGAATAATAATAAAAAAAAGTAATACAAAATGGAAATTTATCCACTTCTAGACAAATGCATAAAGGAAATGGATTGAATTTGCTGACACAGCTTTGTCCTGGTACCTCCTTCAATGTGTATGTTATTCTGACATCAAAACCAAATAAATGACATATACATCATTCGTACTATTTATGATGTAAGCAGTGACGCCATATATTATAGTAAGTAAAAATAATAATTTATGTGGTTTCAACAAAATTGGTATAATTATATTAAGAATTTAAATGATTGTCGATATGATTCGAGTCTCGAGAATGGTACGTCTAAGTCTTCTATCTAATTTACCAACAAAAATTCAATTGGAACAGAATACGATAGACTAGAATCACTAGATTGTAAAGATCATACCATTTTATCGAAATTTACAAATTTTAAGTATGAAATAAAGTAAATAGAAATATACACTGGAGCTAATTAATTAAGTCCAAGTGCAAAAGATTTCATCTTCGGCTGCGCATTCGAGCTCCCCAAGACATTCTTCCTCCTGAATTCCTTTGTCTATGCTTCAATTCATTCAATTGAGATTGCCACCTCATTTTCCACTCACCGTCCGATCTCTGTTTGAAACCCAATCCGTGAGCTAAATCATGATCATACAAAGCTCTAGTGTTTGGATCAGAAAGGGTTTCGTAAGCCTCTTTAACCAATATAAATCTCCTGGTGTTCTCATCAACACGGTCTGGTGGCGATACATCAGGATGATATTTTCTTGCCATTTGTTTATAAGCTTTCTTTATATCAGAAATGGTCCCACTCTCTTCAATTCCCAACACATCATACAAATTACTGTCTGTGGCTTGTGTTGGGGCATAAAATGCCTTAAAACTTGCCCTGGAATGGTTTCTTGGAGTCATCCCAGATGGGTTTTTTAATTGTATTCTGGAATTTGTCAGCTTTGAACGGAAGGAAATGCTTGAAAAACTTTCAGTAATGGATTTTTTTGTGGGTTTTGAGAGGAAATGAAAGTAAGTTTCGGTACCTGAAACCACTGCACAACTCATTCTTCTGGTTACTGTGTTTTCAGATTTGAGTATGAAATTTTTCTTCTTCTCTGATTCCTTATCTTTGAAAGTGGGTTTCTTCTCTTTGTGCCAGTGTGTGTATCAGTATACGCATATATAGAGGAGCTCAGCGCGGAAGAACTTGACGCGGTATTGTACTAGATGAGTTTGCAATACTGGTCCCGTGTTTGACTTTTCTTTTTCATGTTTGATACCGACACAGATCTTTTATTTGTGCTATTGGATAAAATTTAACCATTCATTTTTAAAATTTTATTTTTAATCGTATATTTAATGTGATTTACAATTTTTATTACTTTTTTAACTACACAATTCATTATTTTTATCAAAATATACTAAAAATTTATTTTTTATTCAAATCAAATAGGAGCTTAGTCCTCCTTCGATCTTTATTCTTTAAAATTTTTGTACACAAAGCTCATTTTTATGTATACATTCTAACAATCAAATAAGTTTGTATATAGATTCATAGCTTATTCCTATTTTTTAATCACATATTTTAGAAAATCGTTTTTTACAAATTTTATTTTTAAAAAATGGGTTGGAACAAGGCTTAATTTTAATTTTATTGCGCAGTTCTTGTTTTAAGTTATTCAAGAGTCATCGTTTGACAATCATTATTTGAATTTTTTTCTACATTTTTAATTATTTATTGACACGATAAAATATTTGCACCCAAATATATATATATATATTTTTATTTATTTATATTTTTTAATCACTTAGATTTTGTTCAACTGCTTATGATTATAGTGCACCACTTGTTGCTTGATAATTTGTGTGTATTAATTCAATGAATGATTGAAATTGACTTTACGTTTCTTTCATTTAGTATTTTAGTGGGCATAACTACTTGCAACGGTCCATTTGACATGTGAACGCCACGCAAGTCGGCAGTCGGCTCTGTCTAGAAGAAAAATTCAGACAGGCAATGGACAAGATTTGACATTTTTTTTTTTTTTTAAATTGAGATTCTACCGACTTTTGATTAAATTTACAATAAAAGTAAAAATTATTCTGTCTGAAAATGGAAAATACAATGTGAACAATGGCGGACCAGCACCTGACTAGGTGGTACAATCGCGCGTGCTGTCTCGGCCAAAATTTACAAGTTTGGCGGCGAGCAGCTACACAATTCTATTCGCTGAATAGAGTCAGAAGAGATTGGGGAAGATGAAGTAAGGACATTTGGACTTTTTTTTTTTTTTTTTTTTAAAATCTGAATAGGCCTTTTTTTTAGGAATGCTATAAGTACAGTTTTTTTTAACAGAATTGATATAAAAGACAGATGTCTTCCCTGTAAGCAAAAACAGGCAAATCGAAAAATCGAACCAAAATCGTATTTTAGAAACCATCGGTTTGGTATCACGTGGACCCGATTAACGAAATGGTTTTGAACATAACCAAACCGGTCAAAATGATATGGTTTATGTTTGAGAATTTTAATTGCAGTTTAAAATCAAACCGAACCGGCAAAAATATATATAAAAATGAAAAAATGAAATTTTTTGAAAATTCATCTAAATATGTAAAATTCAATAATTTTGTCATTTGTTGGTATTTTTGTCAATATCTAATTTTTTAATACAGATATATTATTGTTATTATTATCCAATAATCCTTATTTATATCTAATAATTTCAAGACTGACATAATCTATCAAAAGTCATTTTCCTCTTCAAAATTTAGATAAACTCCAGTTGACACCCAACACAGTCTTGAGTCACTGACACCACACACTTTTTTTTTATAGATTTTTCAGGCCTCTTCAAAGTTGAATTGAAGTATATTATACCAAATCGAAAACATAGAGATCCTAGACCTTCAGTGATAATATTTGTTACAAATAAAGTTTCAAAATCAATAATCTTTTTGGAGCAAACTAAGGTAAGAATATGAAATTAAATGCATTTCGTAATATTATACAAACGTAAACTTGTATAATTGTTATTTTTAGATATTATAAAAAATTATTTTATTATTGTGGTTGGTTATTCTTTTTGTCAAATTAGTATCTTTTTTTTTCAGATATGATGATCACGTGGTTTTGTTGGACATCATTATATTTTTTGAACGTTATATCTAGTTCAGTATACTTGTATTGTAACGTTATTGTATCGTCATTAATCTAAAAAATGTGAACAAAAATGAAAAAAAACTATATTTTAGTTTATTATAATTTCACTTTGATTTAGTTGGTATTTAAATTTGTAGTAGATATAATTAGCCATTGTTTGAGCCATATTTTTCATATCACCATAATGAGAAAATTGACCGTTGGAGAGGAAACTGGGTCTTACACATGAAACAACAGGCAAACAAAGGCGGCTGGACTTGTGGGATAACAGTCTAAATTTTCATTTTTTGTCCCAAAAATTTGGTTCAAACAAGGGTTTAATTTGTTTTAGATTTATCCATAGTAAGATATAAATATATATTGAATTCAATAAATTAATGACATAAAAGTAGACAAACAATAAAAAATATGGCGAAATCGACGGTTTAAAATCGAACCAAACCGTTAGGTTTAGGTTTGAGTTTTTTTCAAATCGCTTAAAATGGTTTGGTTTATGTTAATGTTTTTTTCAAACCGGTTTAAACGATTTGGTTTGAAGATCTGTCAAAAACCGATAAAAGACCACTTACACCTCAAAGGAAGATAGGAAGACAGCTGTCTTGTACCAATTCTATAAAAAAAATATATGTATTTATAGAGTTATTATTATTTTTTTAAGAAAAATGGGGAAGAATGGGCCTTTTTCTTTATTTCTTTCTTTTTTATCTTTTTAAAATTGTGGCCCAGTGAGAAAAAAAAATGATAAATGATAATTGCCCAAAATTAATGACAATAATCCATTCCCAAGTCTAAAGTCAATCACGATAATTGCCCTATTCTTCTACCTCGAACTCCGACTCAGCGGTTCCAAAGTCCCCGTGTTATCCCACGTAGGGCTGTAAGCAAAAATCGAAAAATCGAACCGAAATCGCATTTTAGAAACCGTCGATTTGGTGCCACGTGGACCCGGTCAACGAAATGGTTTTGACCCAAACCAAAATGGTCAAAATGGTTTGATTTAGGTTTGAAAATTTTAATTGCGGTTTAAAACCAAATCGGACCGACGAAAAATATATAAAAATAAAAAAATGAAATATTTTGAAAATTCATCAAAATATGTAAAATTCAATAATTTTGTCATTTGTGAGTATTTTTGTCAATTCCTAATTTTCTAATACAGTTATATTATTATTATTATTATTATTATTATTATTATTATTATTATTATTATTATTATTATCATCATCATCCAAGAATCTTAATATATATTTAATAATTTCAAGACTAACATAATCTATCAAAAGCCTTTTTCCTCTTCAAAATTTAGATGAACTCCATTCGACACCCAACACAGTTTTGAGCCACCGGCAGCACACACTTCTTTTCAGGTTTTTCATGCCTCTTCAAAGTTGAATTGAAATCCATTATACCAAATTGGAGATAAAGAGATCCTAAACTTTCGGTGAAATTATTTGCTACTAATAAAGTTTCAGATCAATAATTTTTTGGAGCAAACTAAGGTAAAAATCTGAAATTAAATTTGTTTCATAACATCATATAAACGCAAATTTGTGTAATTGTTATGTTTAGATATTATTAACAATTGCTTTATTATTGTGGTTGGTTATTCTCTTTGTTTAATCAGTATCCTTTTTTCAGATATGATGATCACGAGATCTTGTTGGACATTATTATATTTTTTGGACCTTATATCTAGTTTAGCAGACTTGTATTGTAACGTTATTGTATTGTCATTAGCCTAAGAAATGCGAACAAAAATGGAAAAAAAAAACTATGTTTTAATTTATTATGATTTCACTTTGATTTAGTTGATATTTAAATTTATAGTAGATATATTTAGTTCCTATTTGAGCTATATTTTTCATATCATCATAATGAGAAAATTGACTATTGGAGAGGATGCTGGGTCCCACACATGAAATAGCAGGTCAACAAAGGCGGCTGGACTTGTGGAATAACGGTCCAAATTTTCATTTTTTTGTCCCAAAAATTTGGTTTAAATAAGGGCTTAGTTTGTTTTATATTTATTACTAGTGAGTTATAAATATATATTAAATTAAATGAATTAATGACATAAAAGTAGACTGGCAAAAAAAAAATATGGTGAAACCGATGATTTAAAATCAGACCAAACCGTTAGGTTTAGGTTTGAGTTTTTTTCAAACCATTCAAAATTGTTTGGTTTAGGTTTTGGTTTTTCTCAAACCGTTTTAAACGGTTTGGTTTGAAAATTTGTCAAAAATTGGTAAAATCGGACCGCTTACACCCCTTCTCACCCGTTTCCGCCAGTTACAAACCACGCCGCCTCACTGCTTACCGGTAGTTTTATTGCATTCATCTTCTTAATTCTTAAAAGATAAAAAATTGAATCTTTTGCATTATAAGGTTTGTGAATTGTGAAGAGATTGATTTTAGTTATAATTTGATTTATTTAATTAAGAAAATTTGATTAATTGCAATTGGATCCTGGGTTTTAAACATGTGGACAGTGGACTAGTTGCCCGTGGCTATGGTTAGAATTTTAGATTCACATTTGTGTATTTTGAATTTATCTGTTTTTTGTGTTCTCTTTTTCTTTGTTATTCTAAAATGTTGATTTGACAGAAGTGAAAACCTTTACTTTATATGGTTGTGTTATTATCATTTCAATGTCAATTTGGGGAATTTATGTGATAAATAATAAATTGTTGCTAAAAATTGGAAATTTAAACTTGAAGATAGTTTAATTTGTGATTTACGTTAAATCTGTGAGCGTACGGAGTGAGGTTATATTATGTATTTTTTTTTATAATTTTGGATTGTATTGAATTATATTTTCATTGTATTAATACAATTATTACGTTTTAGTTCATTTACATATAGATTGAAATTTTTTTAATATTATTTAATTAAAATATTAATAAATGATCTTGCTATTACGACCTTTGACTGTCGACAATCAATGATCAACAGTCAACGATCGCCCTAAATGATATCTAATTCTAAATTCGCCACTAAATGTGAAAACAAAGAGTTACTTTTAAGGCGTCTTAATCATACTTCTCGAAATTTCAATATTCTTCATGAAAAGATTATGCCACTGTTTGAGTTCCCATTTTTCACATTTATTCCCATTATTTTTTCTACAGTACTCATTTTCAATCATACATTCTTCATTAAAAACAATATTACACGCAAATAAAAAAAATTTCTTTTTTTTTTAATCATACATTTTCCATCAATTTACTATTTCGTAATACATTACAAAAAATTAATGGGGCTCAAACAAATCCTATATAATCATTTTAATTCAGTTTACATCCTATTGACTAATTTTCCAACTTGATGTGATAGTTTTTTCTTCCTAACCTAATATAAAATTAAAATTGAATCACGTTTTTGAACAAGAACAAATTACCCAGACGCCTAGCAAGGCTCCAATACTAGTTGTAGGGAATTTATCCCCAAATTTGTTTTAGAATATGGTATATAAACAGTAAAATCGCAGCAATAATAAACTGAAAAATAAACTCTGGGTATAGATTAAAAGACATGATCTGTAGAAAAAGTGAAATGCAAGAACGCCAAGTTGAACTAGGCTTAAAGCTTGTTTGGTACAACAAAAAGTCAATTAAAATCAATTTTTTGACTGTTATTTTACTATTACAACCATCATTTTTGAATTATTCTCTAATAGATAGGACTCACTTTATTTCTAATGGTAAAAAATTCAACTATGAAAATTCCTACCAAACAAACACTTAAGGGTAAGCCAATTTTAAACTAGTGTGCTTCAACAGTCCAGAAAGAGGTATCTCTGAAAAGACAAATTGTAGTCATAGATCGAAAGATCTCATTGAAATCAACCCAAGAAATATAAACCCTACCGTACAGAATAACACCAGAGCTGAGAACCATTTTCAACAACCAAAAACTACCCAGGTTAATCCCTATCTTAGCAATATTACAAGGTTTATATATCTAGACAAGATCAAAAACACACGATATGATCAAAAACTTAAGTGATCACCCATAAGAGATGAAGAGAACCCATAAAGAGTATGAAAATCAGAACTCAATCAAATAATCCTCTCAAGGCCAAGCCCAAATGACACATATCAAAAATCAAGATAAACCCTAGCCATTTGATATAATCAACAACTCGAAAGAATGGAGAGAGAGCACAATCCGATCACTATAAAATCAACAAGCGACGTGGTTCTTAAAACTTAGGGGTTGTTTCAGCCCCCCCTTTTTTTTAAAAAAAATTATTTTGCAATAGTGTTACGATATGGTTAAAAATAAGGAGTTTCTGAGTTTGCGTATAATAAGGACAAATCACTGTTTAAGCCCACATTCGAATATCATTACATTCTATTTTTCTCTCTTCTATTTTCAACTACGCAATCTTCCAAAAAATAATATTACACGTAAACTAAAAACTTTTAGGGTGCGTTTGATTGCAAGTAGGAAAATTGCATGGAAAGAAAATATTTTCCAGGTAATTCAATTGCCTGAAAATTATTTACATAGAAAATGTTAATTACACGTGTTTGATTGACTTAAATTTCAACCTAGAAAATGTTGTAATTTTCCAACTTTTGGTGTTTGATAGCCATTATTTTCCATGAAAATAATCATTTTTTCCAACTTTATCTGTTTGACAACCACTATTTTCCATGGAATTTCATGGAAATTGTCACTTTTTCCATGGAAAATAGTGGTTTTTCCCCATGAAAATTTGTCAATGAATAATCCAAAATTTAAATAAATTGTATGCATAAATGCGGCCAAATCCTAATCAATCATAATTAATATAGCAATTCATTTGTGGATAAAAACATGCCAAGATTCGGTACGAAAGATGCATAACCACTATAGAGATGAAATAATTATCCCTAACAATTCAGATTTCTACCACTTACATATTCTTCTGTGCAGTAAAAAATAATAATCAGATAATCCATTCAAAAAATAATGATGAAATTTCGTTCAATGTATTACATAAAACGAAAATGAAAAAAACCCGAAAATCTGTATCATAAAAAAATAGCAAATAAAATCAACATAAATGTCATACTTTCACATATGTCTGTTAAATTATCCAAGCAAGTCATCTTAAAATAGTGGAGGCGGATCACGGCCCAGATTCTCAAATACTAAATCACGCATGAATTCTTCATCAGTCAAACTCATAAATACTTTAGCCAGACTCTCATCCGATCGAAATATTTTCATTACTTGCATTGGTTAATGAAATTTTGTACCTTCAACAACTCCTCCCAAGCTAGTACATCGGCCGTGACACGTCCAGTGTGAGGATCTAACCCAAAACCACTCATGCTTAACAATTGACGAACTTCAACATATTCTTTTTTCAGAGTTTTCAATCGCGCCCTCACATTCTTATCAGACACCATGACTCCGCATCCATTGTGCACGTTCTCGATTGCTTTGGACACGTGATATGATGAAAAGCCATTGTCACTTCTTTTGTGACTAGACAACACTTGATGTAGTAGTGCAGTTATCATACAACCGTCCATTGCATCACTCCAACGTATTTGACGATTCCGAGAATTAGGATCCGCTTGGGTTGAGCTTATTTCCTCCACATCTGAATGAAGGGTTGGTCTAGGAACTCGAAAAGGTGCCGCAGAGCTTTGTCAAATATTTGCCATGTATAGTGCAAGATTAACTGTTTATGGTCAACCAAATAAATAAAAATATTTAAGAAAATTGCATGTCAACAATGTCTCCAATAACAATAATTCCAATAACAATATTTAAAATTCTAACAATCTTATGTCAACTATTATAGGACATGGGAAAAAAATCTGCTTAATGTCAATACGTCTTCAATTCAAGCAATTACTACATATGAAAGTCTAGTACATTTATATCCATTACGTAGAAACGAAAAAACAAATAAAAAATTAAAAACAAGGAAAAAAATCAGATATCAATCGAAATCAATTCCCGCATTCTGATTGGGAAGATAATCAGCCCACATTAAATCAGCAATCGCATTCCTCTTATTAGACCACACTTCCTGATTTGTGAAAGA